GTGTGACCCCCAGCTTTGCCGTCTCAGCAAGTGGCCATCGCCAGGCTGAGAAGGGAGGACAACTTTCTGCCTCTCACTCTTCTAAATTTCTGCTGTGAGCACCAAGTATCCCAGCCGTATGTGACAGGTGTTAGCAAGGTGGTGTCCCTCCCGCTGCACACCAGCACCTCCGCTCTCCCACCCGGTGCCACGCACTCCTGTGGGTTTGATGGGGTGGTGTTCTGCCCAACATGCCATTGGCACCTTAGAAAAAGAAGCCATTTTTGCTCCATTTGACTAGTCAGCCTAAACAATACAAATATCACATTTACTATATACTTTCTAATTATTAGAAATGTGCACTTTGCACATCTGGCAGTGTGCGCTTGCAGCCCAGAAAGCCAACAGTGGCCTGGGCTGCATCAAAAGAAGCATGACCAGCAGGTCGAGGGAGGTGATTCTGCCCCTCTACTCAGCATTCCTGAGACCCCACCTGCAGTACTGTGTCCACCTCTGAGGTCCCCAGTACAAGACAGACATGGAGCTGTTGGAGAGAGTCCAGAGGAGGGCCACAAAGATGCTCAGAGGGCTGAGGGAGTTGGGATTGTTCAACCTGGAGAAGAGAAGGCTCTGGGGAGACCTTATAGCAGCCTTCCAGTACCCGAAGGGGCCTACAGGAAAGATGGGGAGGGACTGTTTATCAGGGAGTGTAGTGACAGGACAAGGGGTAACGGGTTTAAACCAAAAGAAGGTAGATTTAGATTAGATGTTAGGAAGAAATTCTTTACTGTGAGGGTGGTGAGGCACTGGCACAGGTTGCCCAGAGAGGTTGTGGAGGCCCCATCCCTGGAAGTGTTCAAGGCCAGGTTGGCTGGGGCTTTGGTCAACCTGGTCTAGTGGAGGGTGTTCCTGCCCATGGCAGGGGGGCTGGAACTAGATGGTCTTTGAGGTCCCTTCCAACCTAAACCATTCTATGATTCTATGATTCTATTATAATTTCTTCTCCCTGCTTTAGTATTAAAGCAATGAGGTTCCTTCCAGGGAATGCAGGCTCAGACCTAAGACGGTCCACTTCTCCCTGGCATAGACCACGCTCAGTTTTCTCTCCTTGCTCAATGTCCATACTTTAATAATTTGTCATCATAGTTCTTGATTTTCCTTGCCTATATTGCACTTAAGTCATTCTTCTAAATTCCTTCCTTACTTTCTCCTGCTCCATATTAAGAGCTCTTACCAGACTATCTACAACAGTGCCATATCCTGGCCCACTCAGGACCAGGGGCTTCTCAAAATGCTGGACCAACCCTTTCCATGAGTTTCTCTTGTCCCATGCTCCCTAGGGATGGCAGCAGACGTGACGCTCCAGATATCCCCAAAACTATGGCAGAAACTTTACTTAGATGAAGAACATCAGCTGACAGTTCGTTAGACCCCTGGCATTAATTTCTCTGATGGTTACAGAGGAGGAGCTACAGTTCCCTAAAGTGGCAAGGTCTGGGCTTCACTCCCAGTTACAGGAGCACAGAAGATGCCCTGACAGCGTCTCCCACACTCCCACCCCAGACAAGTGGTGCTGCAATCCCTGCAGGTGGTGAAGCAGATTGACTGAGGATCCCTTTCTGTTTACAAACATTTATTTTGCCTGGTTTTGTTTTCCTCCTCTGCCCACGAAGAAGACTGACTGTGTACAGGAGCAGTGAGGACGGCAA